ATTTTTGCCAACATTATTTATGGTCTGTACGATTAATAAACAGTTCTGTATTTATTAAATCATTCCTTGTTTGTATTACTGTAGACTAAGACCATATGATGCAACGCGGGTCAATCCTAGAGGCAACCGCCTAGGGCGCCATCTTCTGAGGGAGCGCCGACTTAGAAAACTTCCGACTAAGTGAAATTTGACAGTGGGGGAGGGGGCGCCTGCGTGAAGCCTGCCTAGGATGGTACACTGGCTTCGACCGGCACTGCTGTGATGGATTTAACAGGATTTATCCCATCCAGAGTTGTCAATTACTAAACACTATAAATTTCGAAGTGACTAGTGAGCACTGACTATTACAGACCTGTGTAAGTATAAGTACTCCTGCTTGGAAGTTTCCAGTCCATTTGCGTACTTTTTGTAAATTTAATTTTTATATATCTCTTAGACTGTAAATGGTGCTTTTATAAACACATTACTGTCTGTGTCCGAATATCGCCAATATGTGTCTAACGCGAACTTATACAATCGTAATAGTAACATAGAAACTACATAGCATTTATCGTCATTTAACATGGATTATGACACTAATGTTTTGTGTAATGTGAGGTGACATAACACATTATGATGCTGAGCGTGACATTGGATTTTTTTCCGCTTTGTCATAATTCTTTATCATGACATACATTCTACCTGTTTATGACAATATGATATGACTGTAACAGAGTTTAAAAAGACTTTATTACGCTAAGCGTTGTAAACTTAATTTTATTAGGTGACCTGAATACACGTGCTGTTTTTCACTTCTCTAGAGCCATGTGATAAGGCAACAACATATAACGGCCACCCGAGGTCTCTGTCGCGCTCCAAATCACTTCTGGCACAAATGACGTCGGAAACACATTAGGATGTATGATACGCTTTAAACCCATTTGGGGGGAGGGGGGCTGACATTTAAACCCCAAAATCAAGTGTCATCCAACGATGAAATCTTGAAATGTAATTCAAAATAAATATTTATCAAAGTACATCGAACTAGCTATTGAATACCTGAACAGCGAAAACGGTTTGTTATTACTAACAAGTTTGTTTTACTTGAAATAATACTTGTAAAATTGTAAACTGAGAAAACAAATTAAATTGAACAAATTAACACTGACGGGAAATAAACAAAAGCAACGATTCGGTGTTAATAGGTTAAAGTTAAAAGTTAGTCTCAAACTAAGTTTGGTTTACATGTATGAAAAAAACGATTAATCTATAAAATCTCTTATGTGATTTTTTTCCCCGTGGAGTATAAATCCAATAATGGGTGGATTAATTTTGCTGCTTTATACTGACGTTTAGTGCACGGTCTTACCATAAAGGTAACTCCTATATAGGAGTCTAGCTTATACTAACGATTGTTAAATTTTATATTATACCAATTCTTTTAAATTGTAAACACAAACCATGCATTTAGTTTAACTTAATTAAGAACTGCATTACAACATACTAGAAAACGTATTCAAAATGAAGTTTCTCTTTCGTCATTTTATTTCTTTAAGAGTTTGGAATTTATGCAATTATTATGTAATTATGTAGTTTTAATATAGGTTTATTATATGTTTCGTCCTCGACAATTGGCAAACCTCATACCGCACTTTAAATCAATGATGCTAATAGATAGATTTACATATAGGTTACAAGCAATAGATCTTGAAAAAACTAAGCAGTAAGTTTGTACTAACAAAGTAAAATATATGCCCTTGTTTTATGCCTCATGATGAATTAATTTTGATACGATTAAGATTAATGAATCGGTTTTATTGCAACCATATGAACTATCACTATTTTAATCACTATTAGTATATGTGATTAATTCCTCCATCGAATGTTCTCATTTTTCACTTTGAAGTTCAACAAAGACTGCTTGGTTCTTAAAAATGGTTATTAAAAATGGTTATTAAAACATTACTTTTATATTGAAAAGCATATAATTCTATATTTAACTTCCTGTTACATTTTGTGTGAAAACCTACACCACTGTTCTGTGACCTCTTAAATTCCAACAGGTTCCATAAAACCCAGAAATGAGTTATAAAAATGATCTGCAGTTTTATTAGATTTTTCATTCATTTTTTATAATGTTACATTCGGAACTATGCATACAACCTTAGCAATTACCTGGTGTTCAAGAACAGTAGAGGGCTATTTAAATCAAATCTACACATTATATAACTGTTCTTTTACAAGTTGTGTTTCACAAGTTTCCCAAGTTCAATGTTTTCATAATATGATACTTTTATCCAAAAGCATGCACACTTTAATGTGTGTGAAACAAGGCAGTGGCACAGCATAGAAGCTGGGATTTCAGGAAGATAGGTGAGCTCCTGTTGCATTGTGGGACTTGCACATGGATTGAGAACCCAACCCTTTTCAGACATTGCTAGAGTTCAGAAGTGTATCAAATATTCCAGAAATATTAGGAAACACGCCGATTGATTCTTTATATTTCCATTTTATTGACATTTGCATCCCATAACTACTTAAATAATTGTACAGAAATATGTAGCCTCCTGGGATATACAATGGAGATTATCACATCCATCCATCCATCCATCCATCCATCCATCTATCCATCCACCTTCTACCCACTAATCCTGGTCAGTGTGTGTGGTTATGACATTAATACCCATTTTATTTAATTATGGATGAATATATAGAGTTTTTTTCATTGCACATATGACTTCCAAAATATATTTTTATGTAAACATGTTTTAAATATGTTTGCATCATGTTTATTTGTCTTCACTTTCATTGCCCGTTTTAGGTCTGAGGACCCCAACAAATAGTCAATATTAATATACATATATCACTAAACATTTTACATAGTGATTCACAGGACTGGGGGATGCATCTATCTAAAATACTGCCTGAAACTCATGTCTTCTGGTGATCTTTTGCCACTAACCTTGCTTCTGTCTTGAATGTGGTGGTTCTTCACATTGTTTCCAGTCTTCAGTTTGCTGGGGTGTAGTGCAGGAAGTAAACTTCACATGGAGTATCCTGCAAGAACTATGCATACTACTGCAACTGTGTCTCCACCCTGCTAGAGCTTCCTAAGATCAAATGTGCATGTTAGCATCTGTCCAGTCCAATGTTTTTCTTTCCTTAAATAGATTATTTTCCATATTGCCCTTTTTTAATTCTTTGTATTTAGTATTCATATCTTCCTTATGTAAAACAAATGTTAGGCATCATTTAACCATAATTATTTGAATATAATAGCATACAATGACAATGAAATATTGATTTTTACAAAATTATTGATAGTTTGAGGGAACATTTCACTCAAACCTAGGGGTGGGGTGATATATCTCTCAAATACCCCTGTCTGTCAGAGTATAATCTATATGATATCCCTTCTGCAGTGGTATGGTTTTCTTGCAGTTGAATGTGTTAAATCATTTAATTTGAGATTTCCCATGAAACAATGTTTTGATAACAGAATAAAGGAATTTTGAGAGCGTCAGATGAAAGTCAAAGAAAGAAATCAAAATTTTAAATGTTCCGAAATTTCAAGTTTAAACACAATTTGCATTGACATTCAACAAATTCTTTCAAGGAACTGATGTTTCAGTCATGTCGACCATCTAAATAACATACAAGAATCTGTGATCACACTAAAATCCTTAAATGTTTTGCTTTGATTTTATTTCAAAAGAATGAAGAAGAAAAATATGTCCATCCCAGAAATGCTTTAAATGTAGTTATAATAAAACTAAAATAAAGTTTCAGTCCTATCCAAAAAGAAAAATAACTAAAAATATATTTTGGGATGTTTTCATTTCTCATATATATGGATATGAACCCTTTTTTGCCATTCATGCAGAGCTACCATTGTGTTCGCATTCAAATCTTTTCTTAGCATTTTGAATTTGGATATGTGTAATAATGAAGAAATTCACTTCACATCAACATGAATCCTTCATTTGTATATTTTCTGCTCCATTAACCTGGTCAAGAACTGTATCCTTAATCCTCAACTTACCTTTCGTATTATTGATCTAGTTACAATCACTTCTGAGAAAACCAAAGCAACAACATTTCCCATGTTCAAACACATACTTGCAGAATAATATAAAGGTTTTGAGCTAATAAGTGATCAAAAAGTCATCCAAATAATTTGAAGAAAATTTGAATGCAGTATAGTTATTTTTATTTAGTTATGTAGTCCACAATTTCAAATAGATGTATAAAAAATACAGATATTATGTAACAAGTTTCAGCTTGATTTTCTCATACAGATGAGCAAAGAAACTGGAACCCAGTAAATGTGATCCTTCTGATTGTATCTTTTTATTTCCTTTAGTTAAGAAGAGCAATGAAACAGAATATATATTTATGTTTCACCCGTATCTTATTTATTGTAATATATCATTGCACCAAACAAAATAAATGTAGTTTACATGTCCAAACTAATATTTACATAAAAATGAAGAAAATCTTTGAAATTACAGAATGCTAATCAGAACGCCATTTTATTTAAACGTGTTATAGTCGCGTGAATAATATTGCGGCGGGATTATATACGCACATTACAATCTAAAGTTATCTTTTGACTATCTCTGACCACGAGCATTCCAATGACTATTTTTACAGCTAATTGTTCCACAAATATTCGGATAACACAACTAATAATGTATAATTATGATTAGCTCACGCCATAATATATTCCAGTTCAAATTCTACGTTAATTGCATCATTCTAAATGTCTAGCACAAATGAATATAGCAAATGAAGAAGTACTATTTTAAAAATATATTTTTAAACTAAGCCACAATAAAAACTAGATAACTCTTGACTGAAAATTACTTTTCAAAAACAAACTAATGACAGTACTACTTTTTCGTTTAAACTTAATGCGATTAAAATTTGAAATCAGACTAAAGTAAAATAGCAACTTAGTTAAATCGTGAAAGAAAATACAGAGGTACTATACTCGTAATTTAAGTGGAAAAAATGCTCTGGATAAAATGACGCTTTAAACTTCTCCATTTAATAAAGCAAAAAAAGCAGAAAGTTAAAACTAAAACTGAACGTTCAGGATTGCAATTTAAGGAGAATGAAGTCTTTGACTTTGCTGTTCTTAGTATTTCCAATAAGAGTCATTTGAAGAACCCGACAGTACAATAAAAACTCAAAGCACGGGTGTTGCACATTACAGCCACTAGGTGGCAAAAATAATTTCTCCACTTTTCTACTAGTACAGCGTTTTAAGTCGAGACATTGCCTAGTAAATAATTTACCTAATCGACAATACTATTTTAAATAGTTAGGCAACAACCGAAAGTTTATGTTTATTCCAGATATTGAAAATTTGCAAAATGTTTACATTGATCGCCTTGCATCGATTTAGCAAATACTGCACCGACGTTACTGGTCAACGTAAACGGCGTTCAAATAAGATACGTATACCATGTTTAAGCTATGTTGCATGTTATAACTATTGAAAAAGAACGCGCTGATCCTTAATTCAATGATAAATAACTGCATATCTGTAAATCATCCTCATTTCAAATATCGTGTACTATCACTTTAGCTCGTTAGGTAGCAACATTATACATTTTAGTTACGCAATTATTTGACGTGTGCAAGTGTTGTAGTCAAAATTATGGCTTGGGGCGAAGTAGTACTAGAAATAAGGATCCAATTTGGCGCTGCTCGTGACTGCATCCAATCGCTCGCGCCGCGGCGCGTGGAGCAGGTGAGCGTGCGCTGAGGCCATAGACAGAAACGCTATGGCGAGTCACCGCGCTGTTGACAACGGCACAAAACCATCAAGAGCCCCGCTGCCATCTGTACTGCTACTGCATCAGGTTCTTCAACTCAGGAAGTGAAAACACTCCAGTCTCAGATATAACTAGTCGCTCCGCAATGGCGAAACATCGGTAAGCTACTGCATACGCATCTTTTTTTCTCATTCCACACAATGAATGCAGCTGATTAACCCCACGTTACAGAGTAACATGTTTTTAAAAATGTGAGTTACATTGCGTGCTGAACATCCAGCCATCATGGGTCGGAGTTTCACTATATTGCCATGATGAAGATGTAATGTGTCTCTTGTTCTTCCGGGTTCATATGCGATGGTTTTGAATGCAGTTAACGCCACTCATTGGCAGGCATCCAGTAGCGTAATTTTAAAACGCATTATTTATTAAAGACACACCACAAAACGTCTTATCATCTAAGGGTGGATTTGTGCTGTGAAACTGGGGATTTAACTCTTTCTCTGAAACTCATTTGAAGCCGTTGAAATTTTAACTCTTACCGGACCACGACCCGCTCTATAGGTAGTTTTAAACGAGTGGCCGACTACAGGCGTGAGAGGGCGTCGTACCTTCAGAAAAGCGCAGGGGAGGATTAACTCTTAACATTTCTCTGATTGCTGAAACCTGAGCATCCTTATCAGGTTGGAGGGGCATCCTTTATAAAAATGCACTGCAGACGTCAGCGACTGCGTAATTTCTGGAAGAGACTTGTAACCAGAGTTTGCTGGTTATTGTGTACCGGCATCGTTAAATCGCACATCTAACTAGAGAGAACGTGGTTGAAAAGGACTTACGAGGTTGTACCGGAGAGCACTGATGTCGAATGTCATTAAATAACCTACAATCAGGCCCATCCCAAGAATCGGAGACATACAGTAAGATTTAATTAGTTTTTCAAAGAATCGTAAGCTATTCCACGGGAACAACAAAGATGGAATTCGAGGAATGTTAGCCTTAAACGGCAAAAGAATTTTATTATACATGCTCAACAGGTAGGCCTATATGCGTCGCATAAACAATATCAAGTCACCAGATAATAAGATATACCATATTCTGCACGAAACGATATAACTAGACAATAATATATCAAAATAGTTCGCATTGAACTGTGTGAAAAACTAAGGCATTAAAACGTAAATACTTGTAAAAATAAATGGAAATGTTATTTATGAGTTTAGGTGAATGACTCTTATTTTACGTTCTCTTAACTGTTACGACTCCCAAAGTTTGATCATTTTCCGTATTTGGCGAAGTAAAAGTGTTTCTTCACGGACTACTACACATATTATATTTAGATACGTGCATATGGGTTATGTTACATAACCATGTAGGAGAAGGTTACCGCAATACACCGCTGAAAAAAAATCTATACACTATTTTCGTGTTATATATAAGGCATGACATCACAAGGCAGGTATTAATGTTTCAGCATGTTTGTATTATGTATAGCCCATTGTTAATGTATACTCATTGAAGGGGACTTTCCAGAATAGGAAATACTCTTGCTACTGAACGAGAAATCTGAACCAAATATGTCCTACCTCTTAAGACGCATAATATCTAGAACTATTTTCCAAGTTCGGTGTCAGAATTGGAAGTTTGCGATCGTGTATCAGTTTGCAGCTGTTTCCTAAAAAGAAATGCTCTTGGATTTTTCTGTCCCTACCGTTGTAGTTCAATGTAGTTTTTTGTATAGTGCAAAAATAATAATGAAAAAAGCTTCCCTAAACTGGAAGTTCTTCCAGCAATCGTAAACGTGCTTTTGTCGCTGGCCATAGTGCTGAATCCAAGCGAGTTTATTGATTACTTAGAATGTCCCGAATTTATTCACAGTACATTTTCCGAGTTTGAGGTTATCCATTTTCTCAATTCAAACTTTCCCACGATTAAAAACTGACCGTAAATCCATGGAATCCCACGTGGTGAGTTATTTACTTTCATGTGTCTGATTCTATTTTTAAAGAAAAAACTTTCGTCTTTTCCCAGTTTTGAATGCTTTGTTATGCTTCATTTCTTAATTTATATGAAACGATCTTCCTTTGTGTAAACAGCTGCCAGGTTTAAATTATATCATACATTTATAAGTGATCACATGGAGAGTAGGTAACCAGCTTAGGGCGATTTCCCTTCATTCTTGGAAAGATTGTGTTTAGGTTCCTTGGTGTTATTTCCAAGAATGTTTACAACATTTGTGAGTATATCCTCTACCCCCTCCCCCCAGACTTTCGCCCTAACCACATAACCCTTTACACCACCTATTACTAAGCTGTACTTAGGAACAACAAAAAAAGGGAAGAAAGGAAGAAAAATAGCAGTGAATATTATGCATAGTCCGTGGATAAAAGCTAACAACACATATATGTATGGTAATCAAATGAGAGGTCAGAAAACACTGACTAGGAGAGTGGGCTAGGGGTGGAAGGTTCAGCTGATTGGCCATTACTGCCCACTACAAGTCATTAAGGCAGAGAATTGGTGACCTGTTTCAATGGCCCAAAACAAGTTCATCGTAATCAGCCTGGGGTCCCACCCTGATTCATTACATAGTAGCAATGGCCCAATAATAATGAAATACAAATTAATAAACAAGCAGAAATAATAAAAAATAATTGTTTATGAAATAATCAACATTGCATCCAGAGATGAAGAAGGTGGAAAAATAAGGTTCTAACAGATGTGTGATTTACTGTCAGACCAACCATGAAGATTAAATAAAAAGTTGTTCTTTAGAGACATAAAAAGTCACAGTGACATTAAGTAACAAATAAGATTACCAATGATATATCAAAATAGCCACGACAAATTAATGCAATATCTTTAGGTTTAGAGTTTTTGGTTCCTTAGAGTTTGTGTAATTAAAATTTAAATTCTATGTGTTCACTAATATTTGCTTTAGTTAACCGCGCAATGTAAATATGAGTTTTAAGTGCAATTACAATGTACAAGAATAGCATTCAGTATTTCTGTTTACATCCAATAACACTACAAAATTAGAGGCTTGCATATGAAGAATATTATAAATGAAGCATATTTTAATTACAGATATACAATATGTAGAATCTTTCATGCTGTGTGAATTTGTAGGGAAAATTCTAAGATACTCAAAATCAATAATAATTAAAAATGATAATTATCATATAACTACACTTGAAAATGCCCTGATTTGGAAAAAAAACTACCACTTTAGCTCAAGTGATTTTGACTGTGTGTGAACATGTGTGTGTGTGTGTCTGTCTGTATCTGCACAAATTTCCATTCAAAGGATAGCTTATTATGAACCAGGACAATAGAAAACTGCAGGCAAGCTACTTCATGCACTGTCACCTCAAATCCAGGCTGATCTCCAGCCCTACATTTCATGACACAATCAAGCATGAAAATATGATTTGTCTATGAATGTATATAAACATAACCCTTATATGAGACACCTTAGATGTCTTGGGACAAAAATCAAATGGTTCAAAACAAACTGACTGAACTAAAAATTGATGGAAAAAAGATCAGAGGGATTACGATGCAGAAATACCAGAAATTCCACATCTGACTGGAAAATATGTGCAGAATTGCATCACCAAGGTATTAAATTTATATAATTAAATTTTATTTGTGGAACATGTTTACCAAACGAATTAGAAAAGGCAAGTCTCACTAATGACCTCAATGGTACAGTATAAAATATATAATATGGGAAGATTTTTAGAAATGTCATTGCATTTAAATTTTGTACATGTCATATGATATATGGGCACATCAATGTTTTTGCATTCATTTCTGAGGCAATATTTTGATGTTTGTATGTTGACGTGAACATGAAAAAGGTTAAAGGCTGTGGTCCGTCTGGTAGGAATTCAGTCAGATTTTTGTAAAATCCTGCATTAGTGTAACACCGTCCAACATTGACACATTATGCTCACTGTGCTTGATATCACCTCACGTTAAACACTTTCTCTTTAAAACCTCTGAAATCCCTATAACAAAACATAACATAAAGAAACAAGTCAATCCCTGAAAAACAGTCTTACCCAGTACGTACTACCCTGCATACTCAGTATTTTTATAATGAGCAAGTTTGAACACGAGTATTTTTTTAATTGTCCAAATTGGATGCATGTCTCACTGACTATAACTCTATATATGGCCATTTACTAAATTTATTACAAGTGATATTTATATTACATGATGTATGTATTATTAAATTTAACACATAGTGTTGATTAAGATCATCTTTAAACCTACTAAAACTGATTATAATTGCTTTAAAAATTAGACCACTTAAATAACAAACAATTGTTCCAACATTTCTTTGCAATAATATGGAAATTTGTTGTTGTGTTATTTCACTTCTTGTACAGCTACAGAAAATTCAGTATTATCCAGGCTCTCGGCTTTTATCTGTGACATTCTTTTCGCTGTAACCTGTGACTAGTGCAAATGTCTGATTTTACCAGCTACACATGCTGACAAGGCAGCAACCAGACCTTCTCTTTTCAAACTAATGTGCTATAAAAAAAACTATATGTTTTTTTTTTCACTTCAAGCCTAATTAATTCCACCAGTTTGCATAATGGTACAGGTCCACAGAAGAATGAAACTCCTAACATAGACTGCCACAATCAGAGGCTGTAGAGCTGTTGGCCCAGCCTGTACTCTGACTTGGGCAATCCAGAAACCTAAATTGTTAAGGTGATCAAACAGTTCTTGAATGGTATTTCATTTGTGCTAAAAGGAATGGCATTACCAGTTAAGATGCTTTCCTTGTTGAATGATCTGTAGAAAACAGTATAAGTACCTGTATTAACTGGGAATTTCTGTATCTAACCTGCAGTAATAACACAGCATTTTCCAGTTATCTCACCAAATTACATTCTTGTAATGTAGAGATTTGTATCTCTACAAATCTTTATATATTAACATAAGAGCTATTATCCCGCATCACTCCCTAAATATTGCACACAGGCCTATTATTTGTCTGCCTACTGGTACCAGTGTCCAGGGGAATTTAGCAAGTTGCCAGGACATAGAGTTCAAGTTACATCCCAATTAAATATTAATTAATGGAAAGACTACCTTGGATGGTGAAAAAAAATCCGTGAAGTCGTCTACTTGAAACCGACTGGGAAAATGCAGCAATAGCCACGGCATAATAATAATAATAATAAAATAATAATAAGAGAATATTCTCTCTGCTTTGCTGGTGACTGTTTATGTGGTGATCTGTCTTCTAAAGTCTTCTCGGGGTCCACGAAGCACCATTCTGGAGAATTTTATGTGGTTTCACTTGTCGTTTCAGAGGTGTTCCGTTTTCCCTCAACATTCTTGCTGCCGTTTACAGGTTGCTAAGAAGAGCATGAGCGCAGGGAAGGCTACCCCGACAGGCTCAGGTCAGTACATCATCAGCCTTCGCCTCTTTAAAATGAACAGCTCATAATACCATTTTACAAATGAAACTGACCATATCGTCAGCTACGAAAATCAAGAGGATTGTTCCCATGTTTCATAACGCCCTAGAAAAATATTGCACTTTCGTGGAGTCTATAGCGTTTGCTTAGGGCTATTAAGACGATGGAGACACCAACTGTTTCCACTCTAATGTGGACACGGGAATTTAAAAAAAACATATGTTTTAAAAGAGAGCAGATCATATAAATCACGGTGTTTTAATATATATGTAAGAAAATTAAACAGCATTTTCAATTTATAAAGCATTTTTACCTATGGGGTAACAATAGCCGGCGGTTCCCTCAGCGTGGTCCGGCTTGCTACTCAGCAAACAAAAGCATCAGCGAGCGATCGGTGGTTTCGGACATAAACCGGACAAACTTTTTAACAATTGATACGCATTTAAAAAATAATGGTGTAGAAGAAGGTGTAATCAGGCTGTAACTTACTTTAAACCCGGACATGTTGGTCAACTGTTGTGCTGCTCCTGTGCCCCAATTTTGGCCAGTGTCCCTATAGCACATTATTTCCGTCGTAGCCGGAGCACTTTGCATGCCACCTTGTGACGTCATCGATCAAAACAGGGGGTTCCTTTAGTGATGTCACCGTCTTTTTTTGTTGCTGATAATTCTTTAAAATTCTTTAAAATATCTCTAATCCTTATGAAAAAAATCATACATAACGTAAAAATACGTTCGTGCATATAATTGTATAAACGTGATAATGACAATACTAACGACCGATTACAAACGTGGTAACCATATAAAATGAATATAGAATAACATTTCAGATACCACTGAAAATGTAACACACATTAAATATGATTAAATTATTATTTGATTATTTTGCGTTAAAATATATCTGAATATCTTAAATTAAATGTTTTATTTATCATGTATACGTATGCACGCAGGTTGTTTTTTTTTGCTATTATTATTTTCCTAGATGTCTTAGTTTTCCTGATTAAATCTATTTGTAGTTACGAAATAACTGTTTTACGGTTAGGTGACCTAAGTCTCAGCAATACATCTGAAGTCATCTCAGTCAGACGATAGCGGTTAACAGCCAAATTTAGTGTGAATGGTTTGCAGGCTGTGTTCAACTTGGGAAATGAAGCCAACTCGATTCACATGTGTTTTATGGCTTTCGACGAATGTTGCTTGCTGAATCTAACGTTTTTGCATTTTCATGCGCTTAAAGTTATTAAGAGCTTATGATAAATATGGATGCACTTATTGAGAATGAACCTATGTTTTTAGCTTCAGGTGTTTAAGTGTTCCACTGGTGATTAAGACATGTCCGGTAGAAGGCCCATGCATGTCAGAAAGCCCACTTAATCCAGGGTTTTAGCTGTACTAATTGTTTAACTATAAAATTTGTTCTAAATTAGTTTCAGCACCGAAGTGCCAAATATACAGATAATTGATCTGAAAGCTTGCTTCCCAGTAGTATTTGTCATGAAGTTGAATAGAAAATGCACTGTCTACGTGGTGTTATTTTACATACAATGCAGTTTAGTTTCGCGAGTAAAATTAGGCAGTGATTCCTGTTTATGTTGAGCTGCTTTATTGTCGTGCACATTTCAAGTCTAGAGTACTTTCCAGTCTTTGCAGTGCCAGTCAGGCAATTCATCACTCGTAGATTATATAGATATACCTAGATTATATAGATATACCAACGGCCTTTGAAAACAACGCATGAAAAGCTACATTTTGTTATCTGTGTTTTATCAGGTTATTTTGCCATTTAGTAATGCAAGTGAAAAGACACGCTTATGCTGCGCCTCTCTGTTAGGTTGATAGCCAATCCCTCCATTAGAATAAAAAGATGTTCCCCGGTTTATGATCATGGTCATTATTCAGGCTTCGAATTGAACACAAAGACGGATGCGTGGTTTGCAGACTCACCAAAATGCGTGTCTTCCAGTATCTCCTTACATTTATCGTTGAAATCCAACACGGTGGTTATGATACCACTAAAGAACCTAACACTCCTCTTCTATGTCTAGTTGATTAAGTTGTCCGGCTTTGTCTGATTTGGTATAAGCAGTAGATCTGATCATTTTGGATTTAAGTTTATAAAGCCTTACACGTTTACAACATATGCCCTTTGTGCATCTCTATTAGTGAAGACAACGCGTGGCAAATTCACATCGCATGCCAGTATGTAACGCCTCACAAAAGCTGCCCAATTTACATTGTTCCCCAGTCAAGTTAATCTTCACATGCGTCCATCGTCTGTGGACCCTATTTCAGTTTTTCACGTTAAACACAAACTCTTAACATTAAGCACTTTGTGAGTGTGAATATCCCGAAACGCGAAAGCGCAACTTGCTAACCTAAGTCAATCTATTGAGGAGTTCCCACAAGCGAGGAGCCATGTGTCTCTACCGTTGTAAATATCTACCATTTTGCTGTTATAAGGAATGTATTGACGTACCGCATAGGATATGGTGTTTTTATTCCAACATGCATGATTGCATCAAATGAAGGAACCGTCAACACCGTGGAGAAAGGTTAATAGTAACCAAAACGCTAGAAAAGACGAGGGCAATGAAAACCTACCCTGCCCCCACTAGCTCACATATAAAAAATAACAGCAATATGCTTCAGTGATAACTTAACCATAGAGAATGTGGCAAAGCGGACCAGTATATCTGCCTGGATAGTCTGAGTTAACATCAACATTCAAAAAAAGGCACGCAATAGGGTTTGTGCATCCTGGCCCCAAATGATGGTGTTCATTATTTATTATTGCGTTTTATTTAGCCTTCGTTTTTAGAAACTTGTTTTCGCGCACATTGCTGTCATTTTACTTTTAAACAGATCCTTGTGTAATTAAAACAATGTTTTTGTTTTAAAAGTTGCTTTGTCACAGTTTCAAAAACATATGCCTCCTCCAATTATAAATAGACGAATTAAGGTATGTAGCCATAGATTTGGGTAAATTTCCGGATGCGTTAAATTTCAGCTATATCGTAGATTTAAGAAATAATGGTTTTCTGGTGTTTTACTAATTTCGTGCAAACAGTACGCTTAAACATATTTCAAAGCAAAGAAATGAGCCCCTGAACTCAAAAGAAACACTAACACATTGAACCAGTTGGACCTAAATGAAATACATGAGTTTCTGAGATTTACTTTCCAACGGCTTCTGCTTACAATCTACTAGCAATTAACACATGAGACGTCTTCTAGGCAAACTATTAATACCTGCTGATTGTGCATTTGTGCCTGCGACGTATCTAAAAATATATAAGCGGGTTGTTTTGCTTGTTGCCCGGCATAACTTGTTTTTTTTCCTTTTTATTTGCTTGTTTTTGAATGTCAAACAAACATGTAGTTAAGGGCAGCGTGCATGGAAATTTGTTTTCTATCTGAAGGGTTAAAAGGGAGAGTGTTAAACTGCGGACTGTAAGGTGTTTAAATATGGATTTTAGGGGCGGAAATAAGGTTGTCTAGGCATCTAGTTTCAAGACAGCTCGCTTAGGCGCTTGTGCATTTTTACAGATACCATCACTGGAAGTGGAGGAAGGAGACCATGCGTGGGATTGTGGGTTTAACAAAACGCGGGATTTAAAACGTTTACTGAAAACGGATGCGAGTTGTGTTTTGCAAGTTGCATCATTTACCTAGATTAGTGTGCAACCGCACAAGAGCTCAGTACTTAAAACAATACAGATATATTTCACACATTTTTGTAACATAATCTTACAATAGGGTAAACATGGAATCTTAGGCTATATGTATTTTTAATAGGTTAGCATATTAAGTGCTGGACTTCGTTTTAAAATGAGGCAGTACATGTTATTTGTTTTCACTTTTGAAGTTGATAATTAAAATGATAAACATGTTGGGATTGAATGGTTTTCCCTGATTTGCTGGGTGTTTAAACTTCTAATAGCTAAAAGGTTGCATAACGTAAAGCACGACATGGCTTATGAAGTAGATACAGGTAGTTAGAGACTTTTTGCTAGGTATGTTTCACGGAGGAGGAATGCCTTTTTACAGGAAATGAATGAGTCGATAACATCTGACACTAGTGGGTAGTCCCCTGACCCTGGACTTAATTCTGTGGAGGCTCTTTACAACATCTTCAAAAACAGAAATTGTGAGCGGGAGGGGGCTGGGATCGACAAGAGAATTCCGGAGGGTGGGCTTTTGAGTTGAGGATTGTGAATTCATCCTTGCGACGTGTTTTTCTTCGTCAAAGCAATTCACCATCTCACCATTCGCTTCCTGGCATACCGCAGTCAAAGACATTTCTAAACGCCAATGCCTGAATAGAATTTTTTACAAACCACCTTCTTATCTTCCACGGTTGTTAGTGATATTTCAGTTGTTCATTACTTGTAGAATCACTCATTGCGTATTAAAATACACAAGGATCTATAGTACTCAGTAACAGCTATTCATAAAACGTTTATTTTTTAGGGAAAAAAGATACTTTCTGTTGCAAAGCCAGCTGATAGTTTGAATTCAGGATGCGATGTGTCTTCGGGTATTTTATTCTGTTCGTGATCCCTTTAGGTCGTTCGGTATTTCATTCATTTGCCTGAATTTTGAATGTTTAGGTATGTAATTTGTATTTTCTGACCTGACCTCCAGTTTGGCTTTGTTGAAATAACCTATAGGAAATTTACGGTTGAAGAGGGCAAAGGAATTTCAGGATTTAGACCTTCTGCTCCACTTGCTAGATTGTTTTAGTTTCTTTTTACATGATTCTTGTTCCAAAGGTCCATCCCGATGCCCCCCCTTTATTTGAGCAGACGTTGCGCGAGGACTGACCATAAGCTAAGGGGTGGGGTGGGGGTGGGGTAAACATGTACCTTTAAATATAAAAGACATCCACAGAACTCCAGACAAATGGGCGCCATAGAGCTGTTGGGATCCGATAAAATGCTGGTGGTTGACCAGCAGAGAAGTTTTTAAAATAACATCATACATTTCAGAATCACCTTCTTTTCTAGACTTAAATATAACATATATCCTCAGTGTTTCCAAATCTGGGCGGTAGGCAATATTTTCAAGAATTTAAATTTTGGATTCATACTACTCAGTCAGAAATTTTATGAGAAAAGAGGTAGCGTCAAGATAAATTATTCTTTGTGATGGCAGTTTTATTCAAATACGTATTTTCATTCTAAAAATAGCACCATGTGTTCTGGAAAGGTTGGTTACAAAGCGTCTTGTTACTGTATAAAACGTGAATAATTGATTTAAATAATTTGTAACACTTAGGGAGTTATTAGCCTCGGTCGCACGTAAAGACGGCTTCGTGGTATTGTTCGACATAATTTGCAGTTTAAAAAGATACATTTCTTTTACGCCTACTTCTGCTTGGAACCGGGTCTTTGTTAAATAGCAACTGAACGGCACAGATCTAGCGTTGCATGCCTTTGATCATACCTTTTTAAACAATGTTTCGGTTAAACAATAAATTAATAAAATTAATGTAATTGATGAATGAAAGAAAATAGTTATATTGTATATCGTTACGAAAAATACATGTATTCTGTTCATACTTAAAAATAAAGAAAGATTAACGTAGCCTGTATTTTATTGGCCACGCGCTATTCAACTCTACGAGGCTTACCGATGTGGACCAGCACAGTTTTGTACCCTTTAAGAATACTGGCAAAATGAAAAGACCTCTGTTCGGTCCATAACAAAACTGCTGTGGCTCACCAGCATACAGATGCTGTCCGATGTTACCGAAGTAGTTTCAAAATGAACTACGTGTTTAAGCAAGATTTTGCTAGTCTGAAATTGTTTTGAGTGACGGATCCGTAAAGCGACTATTGGCTGCCTTTGCCTCAACCCTAAACGTATCTTCTCCCCTCCCCTTTTCAAGATCCGAAGTGAAATTAGTACCAAGAAAGCATGTAATTGACAAAGTCACGTGTGTTCTGGGGCCACAGACAGTGAGTGAGTGAGGGAGTGAGTGAGTGAGTGAGTAAGTGAGTGAGTGAGTGGGAGAGGGAGAGAGAGCGGGTGAGAGAGGGAGAGACAGAAAAAAAATCAAAAGGGGGAAAGCACGCTAGACCATGCGAGCTAAATTTGTCATCGCTGGAAATCGGGATGTTCGATTGATGCAGAAGATACCTTATTTCAAAGGAAAAGTTTCTATCTCAGAACTTCGGAAAAGAGGGTCGGCGGGAAAACATGGCCGAAGGTTATTCCATATTCTTTATTTATGTTTTCATTATCCCCTTTGCCTTACTTTCTAACCTGATAGCACAGGGGGCTGCGCTAAGCTATTGTTGTAGACCTTCTAAATGTTGCGTACCGCCCCCAGTGATTCTCATAAGAAAAGATGTCTTGCTCTGCAGTTTAAGTTATTTCTCCGATATACTCTGATATAAAGGCTAGTATATTTTGTGGTCGACGTGAAGGATCGCCTGTTAACTACACCTGTCCTGGGAGTTTGATATCAAGTTATTCTAGCGGGTGTTCCATTGAAAAGAACCTTGGACGTAGGCATGTGCAAGGGTGAATTGTGCAATGCTATAGCTGAGTGCCGCAGTATACTGAATAATAATAATAGCAATAATTATTTTTATTGTTATTAGGCTGCTGCTACTGCTAATACTGTTATTTACCATTCATGGATTACGAGGGTTAAGAAATCGACAATGTATAACTATTATACTTCAGATGCTTCTCTCATGATTCATGGTAAAGGCTTACATAAGTATTGCTTCCATTGATAAAGATTTTCACGTGGCGGTCTTAATGCGTGGTCTTCCGCATACAAACAGACGCTGAGATGAGCGCCAACGCGCAGCACTTTCATTGATGCGCATTCTTCTAAACGTTTTAAAAATTTGTTTGCAGGAGGGGTGGGTAAAGGTGGCGGAGATGACCCCGGGAAGTCGCCTGAGCAGGAAGAGACTCAGCCCCAAGTCCTCTGTGGGGCAGGCCACTGCAAGTGGTTCAATGTGCGAATGGGGTTCGGATTTATATCAATGACCAGCCGCGGGGGACGTCCCTTGGATTCTCCACAGGATGTCTTCGTACACCAAGTAGGTCCCCCTCCACTAACGTAGAAAACACTACATGCACTGTTTGTTGTTCTGGCTCGTCTACGGTAGGACACACGTCAGTTGATGACTTTAGCTGTTGTTGGCTAGAAAGAAAAAAAAAAAAAGTAAGCGGGCTAAATAGTTCACCCGGAGATAAAAGTCGTTACATTTTTTACAGAGAAATGGAGAATTGTGATGTGCTACAAACGGCCTCTTTAAGAACCGTGTGACTGATCAAGCTAGTGAAAGCGCGTTGTTTATGTTATGAACCTACCGGTCTGAAATTATGGGTATGCATGAAAACGTGGAGACCGTGTCGGTTTTTTTTTTAGATCGACTGCTTGTGCTTCATACCCTAGCCTGCAGTATCCAGTGTTTTGTACAAAATACACGTTGTTGATGTTTTGCTTCTGCTGTCCGGTTAACTGTGGTTAATGTGTAGTATCTTACATGAGTTTAAGAGTTACATAATTTATATGTCTAAATCGCTTTGAAACATGGGGAGTGTACTTTTTTTTCCAATTTCAAAATCTGATCATTTGCATCCAGTGTTCTGTCTAGAGGTCCATGTTTGTGATTTGCATTTTGAGTTGATAGTAGGAAAAAATCATAGTATCCGATTAAATGGTTGTGAAAAGTTGTGAAGTTTGCTGGTCCTACGAAAATATGTCTGCCAAGGTGAATGTAGGCTACTACCGATTTGTGAGCATTCATATGTTTCCCTTAGCGTATTTAGTTTTTCAACGATTTTATTTGTACAGATCCTTATTTACAGAACGACATCCTCACGTTTAAACAACCTGTATTTCCATTTGCGATCTAGTGTAAGTTTTTCAATATAAGTTTGCTCATTATATCGCAGTGATATACAAATAGGAAAATAGATGTTTATGAACACTTTTAAAGATCAACATATTTTAAAGTTAGTGTTATGGTTTGGAAATAAATCTTTACGTCTTAATTTTATTCAGAAACTGTATCACTGGTTTTACTGAGCATTGGCGAAACAACGCGTAGGGCCCAAATGCAGCTGTGTTGGTTCAGGTAGTACACTGGCAAACATGCAAACAAGCTAAGGCGGTTGAAATGCAACTGCATACGAGCTAGAGAAACAGTTAAATGCTATTGTAACGTCGGTCTGATTCAAGTATCGCTTGAAGAAACAAACAACAACGACAAAAAAATAATATCTTTGGTAATATCAGTGTCTGTCAAAGATGAATTCGAATAAGGAAAGACGATCTAAACTGCGTTTTAAAAGTAGCTTGGCGTATTTCCGTAGTGTCAAGGTCACTTCCATTGTGTAACAAATGTCACTGGTAAATATTTTAACATTTAAAAACACTGGTGCTCTTGTACCATCCTGAGAACTATAATGTAAAACCGCATTTGCTCTTACTTTAAGTAGATTACGGTGTATCACAATGTATCCCCTTTTCAAGCAGACTGAGTGTTAGAAATAATAATTAAAAAAACACCTATAATTAATAAATGAATCAATTATTATTACATACCAATAAACAAACGTACATACAAAGCTCAAGAAAATTCAAACCCTGAAAGATTAATACTTAACAGAATTCAGTCTCCGTAAAATATTTTCTGATTGTAATCTCTGAGTATCATTTTTGGTAATTGGAATTATTTTGACTTGTCAGGTTTCTTTTTGCTTGTTAATTAATCTTCCAGTAATGATTGATTAATCTGATCTAATACTGGGCACATTTTTAGCTTTGACTTCCTATCTCTGTTTATTACGAGTAGAATAGATCACAGAGTCACGACTCATGTTTTTGTTTGTATCTTTTTTTGTTTTAAATGAACATTTTGAGATTTTCTGGCTTTGTTTTGTTCTGTGTATTTGAAAACTTAAGCTTGGTTTCACTTCAAATGTATCTTCTTTTTGACCTTACTTGCATGTGTAAAATTTAAAAAATCTTAATTTGAAATGGACTGTTTATCAATACTTGGTCCCTTTTGTATTTTTGCTTAGAACTACCCAGACAATGCAATTGTTTTCTCAGATTTCTGGCTTTTAATTCTGTGTGTCGTGGTGGTGTAAAACCAGACACTAAACCTTGTGTTTCTGGCGTTATGAAACTAACTTGTTAGAGAGATACTTGGCTTTTGAAGTCACAGTCAGCATTGAGCGATTTCTAAAAATGGAAAAAAAGTATCATATTTGGTAAACAATTTCTCATTTGTTGTTGAGCATTGCCTTATAATCAAAATTAATACAATCCTGGAATCCAGCATTTTGTGAATGATTAACGGCTGATTTTGTTTAACCATGATACTATTAAAATGGGATTTTTATTTTTTGATTTTTGGTATTTACTGTAACACAGAATTACATACATATATTACTTATTAGACAAACTAATGAAGTGTCTTTGGGTTGTACATTACCTTGTATTGTGTTTTCATTCATTATGGTCAATTCCTTTTAATTGTTTGCCATGTTAAGGACTTACAAATGAATGGAAGTTAATATTCTTACATGGGTCAAAGATGTATTTAATTACAAAAGTTATTGGGGTGGGCATGGTTTCATCATGCCAAAAGATAGCATGTTTGTCTTTGGTAATTATGGTTAGATTATACGTTAAGGATGTATATTTTTCTGCTTTATTTTGGTTCATGGGCTTCTCTTCCCATGAGTACCAAATGATATGTGTACTACGTCTTTCTAGAAGGAATCCTTGGCTGTACTGAACAGAAGAGAGTAGTCCCCCGATTAATGTCTATGTGGATGCGGATCACACTGGATGCCCTCCTGCGCATGGGAGTAGATTGATTAGCCATGCCTGGCCCTGAGCACACAGTCCACTGTTTGCAGCAGAAAGGAGATGTTTAGTGGAGGTGCTTATGCGGCTTTTTGGAGCTTCGGTGTCTCTGTTTTGGGCTCAGGGGATGGGGAGGGGGTGTGTGTGTGTGTGTGGGGGGGGTACCTCATGGCCTTTGACGTTTGTTTGCGAGATTCGACCAAGCTGGATGGAATGTGTGCGATAGATAGCTTTGAAATGCCTTTGCTGGTTTCTGGCCCCTCCAGGCCATTTTCCCCTGGAGGCAAAGCATGAATACGCTCCTGCGCACAGACATACGTACCCACTTCTAAATTATGCTTTCTCCTTTTGCAGTTAAATACATCATTTGGCAAAAACCGATCCTCCACAATTTGATGTTCTGCATTACGCTTAAATGTTATCGTGTTTGCATTGGAAAGGAGAGTGCATTAGAAAGTGATTCATCAGGTAAATCACAACCAGACAAACAATGATTGAGCCCTGGTAGGAATGAGCTGCTTTTTCAAAAACGCGGTGGTGTACCTTTCATGAAATGCTGCATAGAGTGGAGATTCACCCAGGCTATGCATTTGCCTCTCCCTTCCTAGGATTACGCAAGCGGTGTTAATAATAATAATAATAATAATAATAATAATAATAATAATAATAATAATAATAATAATATTATCTTCTGTGAGATACTCCATACTCACACACACACACACACACACCTCCCCCCGCCTCTATTCCTCAGTAGTGAATGGGCAGCTCAGGTTGCTGCTCCCGCTGATCAGACTGGGGAACCAGGGGTCAGAGCTGATCATTTCCTCGAATCAGCTTGGATTGTGCAGATGTGTGCCCATGCATGCATTTCTTTGCAAAATGCTATTTTTTAATCTATTTCCAAGGTTGAGAAAATTGCACGTCTTATGTAGAATGAGCAAAACCTTAATGTGTTTCTGATTCCCGTACATGCTTTCTCAAGATACATTACGTGTAGTACAGGCAGAATGGGCAGTGGGTTCATAGTGCGGCAACAGAATACAAAAATTCCCTCTACCAAATCGTTCTTGTTTTGATTTTTTTTTGTTTGTTTCATTGTTGCCGTGTTTGCTTGACACAATTAGCATCATGTGATTAAAGTGTTTATGGTGTGTGTCATATATCAAAGGCCAAAGAGCCTCACCTTTCTGATATTTAAAAGTGATGTGATGTTAAAA